CCAGCCATGAGCATGGTATGTTCTTCCATTTGTTAATATCCTTTGCTATTTCCTTTCTTAGGATTTCATAATTTTCTTTATAGAGGTTCTTCACCTCCTTCATTAGGTATATTCCTAGGTATTTCATTTTCTTTGAAGCTATGGTGAAGGGAGCCTAATTACTTAGCCTCTCATCTTAACTGTTATTGGCATATACAAAGGCAACTGACTTGTGGACATTGATTTTATATCCTGAGACATTACTGTATTTTTTGATGACTTCCAGGAGTCTTGTGGTTGAGCCTTTGTGGTTCTCTAAGTATAAGATCATATTGTCAGCAAAAAGGGAGAGTTTGACCTCCTCTGCTCCCATTTGGATGCCCTTTATTTTCTTGTCTTGTCTTTATATTGGCTAGAACTTCCAGCACTATGTTGAATAGTAATGGTGACAGAGCACAACCTTGTCTGATTCCAGTTCTAAGAGGAAAAGCTTTCAGTTTTAGTCCATTTAGTAAAATATTAGCTGTGGGTTTGTCATTGATAGCTTCTATCAGTTTCAGAAATGTGCCACGTATGCCTATACTCTTCAGTGTTCTAATTAGAAAAGGATGCTGGATTTTATCGTATGGTTTTTTTGCATCTATTGAAAGGATCATATGGTCTTTGTTTTTGCTTCTGTTGAGTTGCCTCCTTTCTGGATCTCCGACCTTGTCTCCCAGCTTGCACTTCAGTTTGCTGGAAGTTCTTCTTTAGTCTAACTCCCACCTATCTTGCTGCAAGGGCAATTTCATTTAGGGCAAATCAGAGCATGGCCTCACCTGATTTGATAAGGGCTGGATCCCTGAACCCAGTCAGACAGATGAGAACTCAGTACTCCACTCTGAGCTGAGAACTGGGCCAGACTTAGAGACGGGACACTTGAGTCTAGGCTCTGTGCTAAGGGGAATCCTGAGGGCTCAGGTGGCCAGGAGACACAATGTTGTGCCCTAGTGGCTCCCAGCCCCTCATCCACTCTCAGACCACCCTGCCTTCTGTAGAAGTCCTGCCTTCTTTCCTGCCCCTAACTGAATGATAGACACTCAGGTGTCCAGGCCCACCTGGGTTTAATTTTCAAATGAGTCCCAGCCAAAACCCTCCGACCCAGCAGAGGTGATACCACAGAGCAGGGCCAGGGCGAGGCTCTTCTGCAAGTGTTGAATTTGGCCAGAGAATCTCCTTGGTCCCAGTTGGGGGTGAGGGTGTGGGCTTTATGACATTCCCACTCTTCCCATCCCAGTCAACTCTTCCTTCCTGAGCAGCTGGGCTAAGTAGTCACTCCACCTCCATCAAAGAAGCGATAGAGAGGGGGGGTGTCTTCTTCCCAAGTCCCAGACCCCACAATCATGCACACATCCACACTCTTCACCATCCAGTAACCTTCTCCTGCCCATCTCTGTTCCTTCTGGTGTAAAAATAGCCACTTTCACCCACACTACAATTGAGCAAAGCCCTAGAATGTTCCTCTTAGCTCTCTCAAGCTTGACATTTTCTGCCCTTAGCCTGTTTTTCTCCCCATTCCACCCCCATCCTACTTTTGCTCCTCCAGTTCTTCTGACCAACTTTGCACCCTCCCCCATTTGAGTCTCCAGATTTCTGGGGGAGCCAACAGAGAGGTCTGTCCAAAACTCAGGGAAAGGTGGTAGGGGTCGCTGCAGTCAGATCTGCTACAGATTTGGTCATAATTAAAAGGCCAGCAGCACTGGGAAATTCCTTCTCTTTATTGATCCCAGTGGGAAATTAAAGCCAGTTGTTGGGGGCCGAGTGGCTGATTTAGCTGTTGCTCCTCCCCATTGCCCCTAGCTTCCTGCACCTCCTGTTAGCCCCTCTTCAGTCCCCGCAGCCCGCTCATCTCCCTCCCCTCAGTCTGCCCCAGTCTTCTTCCCAAGCACCCTCATGCCTGCTGCTCCCCTGGGTAACAAGGCTGCTAGAGACTGAGACCTCAGCCTCAGCTACTCAGCACCCTGCTTGGACCCTCCTACCCACTTCCCTCAGCCGGAGTTGGGGTACTGGGGCTGGATCTGGAGCTGGAGCTCAGGCTCAGAGCTGCCAAACCGCAGATGCTCACATCTGGAAAGAATTCCTCTCCCAGCCTGACTTCCCTTTGTCTTCTGTCTCTTTGGAAATCCTGACCAGTTGATTGAGGGGAGGAGGGAGTGGAAAAGTGAAGGGAGGGGAATGGGCCCAGGCCTCCCTGCCCCCACTCCAGGGAGCCCCTCTCCCTGGCTTCAGCCTCCCCATCATCCTCAGCCAAGCCATCCAGCCTGTGGCCCCTCTGCTCTAGTCTCATGAAGCCAGACCACATCTTTCCCACAGATGGGGTCCCAGCATCCTGGTGACCATCTTTTGGGTGAGATTTTAACATCTTTAGTCACAATTGTGGGAGAGAGGCCTGCACTGGCCCTTTTCTCTTACAGGAGCAGTGGTGCTATTGAGCAGGAGATGGCACTCTTCTGGCTGGGGCCCCAAGAGGATTGGAGGGGAGTGGAGTAAAGTGGAGATGGACATGGACATGATGACCTGAGTGGGAGAGGCAGTAAGTGGAAGAAGGGGCAGCAGGAGTCTTGTTTCCACCATGCTCCCTCCTCCAGTCTCTCCTCATCCTTCTGGCTAGGAGCCTGATTCCACTGTCAGAACCTAATCCCCCTCCCATTACCTACAGCACTGCTGAGCAGGGAGGCTGGAGGAGGGGCCCAGGCTTTGCCCACACGCCTGGTCCTAAGCACTCCCCAAGGACACCCCCCTTTCCTTCCACCACCTCTGCTTTTGTCTGTCTTTCCTAGAGCTCCTCACCCTGCTGCCTTCTAACCGAAGCCAGGTTTCTCTACACCCCCCTGTAAGCGCTCCTGGACCCCCTAAATCTAGGCTGAAGCATCCAGCTCCCTTCTGCAAATCTGAGGTTATTGGCTAGTGCTGTGTGGAGTTTCCAGAAGCCCTTTCTGCAGTGTAATCTCCATCCCACTTGCTGCAAAGCAGCCTGGCTGCTTTAATTTTCTCTACACACCCATTATCCAGAGATTTCCTTCTTTGTCCACTAGTCCCCCAGCACTTTCTTCGGCCCGAGGAGAAGCCCTCTTTGACTTCCGTCCTCAAGGCTCCTCCCCAGCTCCCTAGACTGCTGCGGGTTTCCAAGCACAAGGGCTCAGGGACCTACAGAGCCTCCCTGCTCCACCCTCGGCCACGCTGGCAGGGAGGGGCCGGGGCAGGGACCCAGGGCTGGGACCAGATGTGGGGTTTTCTTCCCTCCTCGACAGGAGGTGGGAGGGCGAGTCCTGGGGTAAGGAGCGGTGCGGGCCGCGGGGCCATGTGCACCGGTCCGCCGAGGGCGAACAGGCCAGGGTCCCTCGGGACAGGCAGGGACCGCTCCTCTTGCTGCAGGAGTCGCATCTTTGTTCCTCTGTGGGTTCCCGCCTTGGGTCTCCGGGGCTGCCTTCAAGGCTCCCGCCTGCCCTCCATTTCTGGTTTTCAGTCTCCCGGCCCTCTCCGCTGGGGTCTCCGCGGGAAACCGTGCCCTACCCCCCTGCTTTGATCTCCCACTTCAAAGCCAATCTCCCAGCGCGGGCGCGTCTTCCGTCTGTTTTACGGCTCGGGATGGTGACACCTGAGACCCTGCTCCGCCTCCTCCCCAGTACCCAGCCTCCCCCACCCCCCCAGTCTGGGTGGCGGCGGGCGGCGAGCCCTGTCCCTGCCTCGCCTCCCCGCCGCATGCCGAGACCCCCCAGCGCTTTAATAAAAACCTCGAGTCAAATGACTGGCTGCGACCCCTGCCCTCCCCAGCCTCGCATCCCGCTCCTGCTTAACCCTTCGATGTCCGTCCACCCAGTTCATTAAGAGGGACGAGTCTCCACGTGCCCACTTCCAGCGTCCCCAGGCACTACCCAGCCAAAAGCCGGAGCGAAAGGCAGGGGAAGGATTCGCCCTTACCCCTCCTCTTTGAGTAGTTCCGGCAGGGGGCGCCGTTGCCCCACTTTGGTGTTGGACCCCAGGGACCCCAGGTCTCCCCCAGCCCCTCTGAGTTCAGAGCTGTTCCCCGGAATCTAGATCCGGCTTCAATGTAGCTAGAGCAGCCACCCATTCCCTTCTTCAGCTCTGGCTTGAGGTTTGGGGTTGAACCACCGGTGGGTCGCTGGGTGTCCGGCGCCAAGAGCAGAATGCACCGACTTAGGAAGGGGACAAGGGAGAACAGCCGAAACGTGGCAAACACAGGTGGGAAACAGCCACATGTGAGCTCGGAGCATCTGCGCTCCAGCCAGGAGCCCCTTCCTCTCTGCCCAGAGAGCAATTCGAATGCTGGCCATATGGCCGCTTCCCCATCCACCAGCGAATACTGGACCCACACACAGGGCTGAATCCAGAGGTTGGGGGCCGGGGCACAGGGGCCCCCAGATGGGAGGCGGGGCAGGAGGCGGGGCCACTTCGGTCCTGGGCAGGAACGGGCAGTGCAAGGTATAAAAGCTGCCTGCCCGCAAGTAGGAGCGCTGGCCAGCTTTTAGGTTGTCCCCGGACCGGTCTTGGTTCCTGAGTCTCACCACCGGGCTAAGGCGGCGGCGACGTCTTCGACTAAAGGATTCAGCATCCAGTGCTGCAGCCGAGGGATTTATAGGAACTACCACCCGCGCCGCCACCATGCCTAACTTCTCTGGCAACTGGAAGATCATCCGATCGGAAAACTTCGAGGATTTACTCAAAGCGCTGGGTAAGGAAATTTTCCGAAGCCCGGGAGAAGCGAGGGAGACCTGAAGTCCTGAGAGGTGAAGACAAGAAAGAAAGAGGGACGGGAACCAGGGGGTGAGAGGCTGGGAGTCTGCATCTCCAGAAAGAGGGCTGTACGCCTGGGACGCTGGGCCTGGACGCCTAAATTCTGCTTTCTCCCGCGGGGGCCCACCGGTGCCAGCTCCAGCGGTGACTCAGAGCCTGTGAATCAAGTAGAAACCAGAGGCACAAGGTTGGTCTCCGGGGGATGGAGGACTGGCCTCAGCTCCGGGACCTGGCCAACCAGGGCACCTGGCTCTAGCAGCTCAGAAGCTGCCGTTTGATAGAGCCTCTAACCCTGTATCCGGGCTGAGAGTCTGGTCACCTGCCAGTCAAACCCCTCGAATCCCTCGGAGACATTCCAACCTCCTTCCTGGGCGCCGGGCCGGTAATCCAATCCCTGGGGCAGGTTCATTACCCCTCAGCTCCTGGCTCCACCTACCAGGTGATCCGCAGCCCCAGCGCCCCCTTCCTCTCCTCCCCGCTCTGTACTTTCCACTCCCCGCCCCCCATCTGTGAGACAATTATTTTCGTACAGCACTCAGCTCCAGAGTCCTAAAATCTCTCTGAATAATTATCACTTTCTTGAATTTCAACAAATGGCTTCATGTGAAACTCCAACCCCTCATTTCTGAAAATCCTGGTTCCCACCCCCCTCCTTCCCCAGAGGGAGCAGGCTGCAGCTAAGCTTGGTGTGTTGGTCTAAGGTGGAGAAACCACATCAGCCCAGACTGCCCTTCCAACTTTCTCCACTCACTTTCTGCACCTTCGGGCTCACCCTGTGCCTGATAGCCTGGGGTAGAGAGAAGGCGCTGGGAAGAGATGGAAGCCAATCAAGGACCTCCATCCTGACAAAGAGCCCTAGGAACCCTGGAGCCACACATGCCACCTTCAGTTTCTGAACTGAACACAGAGACACCAGTTTGGGCTCAGTGGGTGGGGGGAGGACATCCTGTGTGGGATGGGGAGGGGGGAACTGATGGAGTGAGTTGGGCCTAAGAAAGGTCTGGAATGCTATGAGGAAAGCAAGCGTTTCCACCATCCCTTGCAGTTAGTTACTCCTGTGATCTAACCACTGTGTAGTTGTGTCAGTCTTGCTTTGCCCTTGCTGAAATTAAAGATCAAAGGATAGAAATTTTCCCTGCAGAAAGCTTAGATACCACCCCTTCCTCATCTCTAGATTCTGGCCTCCCCAGTGGATGAGGTAGAGGGCTGGCACAGCTGGAGAGTAAGCTCCAAAGCCCAATCCTGTTGTCCATCTTCAGTCTGTTTGTCCTCCCTGCAGGATCTCTCAGAGCCACGTGCCCTCCTCAGGCCCTGCTGGGGGCAGATTGGAAACAGACCCACTAGACAAACACTGTCCAGAGTCAGCCAAGGTCGCTGAGCAGGCTCCCAGCTCTGTAAGCACCAGGGGCTGGCTAGAGGGATGTCTCCTCCGAACCCAGACTTGCCTCTGCAGGAAGCTCACCCTCTTTGTCCTAGCCAGGAGTCCACTGGTGGTGAGGGGTGCTCAGGTGTTTTGGGATATCTGTCCCACCCACGGCCTGGCACACAGCAGATTCATTACTGTAACAGGAAAGATGGATGTTAGATAGCAAGATGGACTAACAGGGAACAATAGAGAGTGAAGTAGCCTCTTTGTCCAAGAACATGTATCTCCTCTACCAAGTCAAGAGGACTGGGAACCTCAACCATCTCTCTCTGGACCCAAGAGTCAGCAGCCAACGAATGGGGTTCTTGGGGGGACAGGGCTTCCTTTCTCACTCTCCCTTCTGTTTAGAATAGGGTGGGTATGCTTTGATTCTGAGGGGAAAGAAGATTTGTTTCTCTAGGAACAGGGTCTAGAGGAGGGCCAGGCAGTTGGCCAGATCCCAGGCAGGGGAATCCTACTGCCTGGCCCAGTGCCCTGTGGACTTACAGCACTCTGAAGGGCTCTACTCTAGGCCAGGGCAGTGGGCCAGGCCAGGTGAGCTGAGGTATGGAGCTGGGGCCTAGGTCCCTTTCCCAGTGGCCTCCCTCCCTACTTGTCCTCCTGTCAGATGGGTGTTCTCTCCTATTTCCTTCACCCCTCTTAACTGGGGAGAAGAGAGAAGGGGTCTAATCTGGGAAATTGAGTATAAATATGAGTGTGCACAGAGGTGAAGTTAGAAGGCCTGACCACCTGAAAGGGACTGGGAGACCTTGGGGGACGTATCAGGGAAGGGGAAGAAGGGCAGTGACCTTTTCATGTCCCCTCATGTCCTTTGGGAGAGGGGCACAAGACCCTTCCAAGAAGACAGGTTAACAGGGAGCCAGATACCAGAACCTTAAGCCCCAGCTCTGGCTTTTTCTTCACTTTCCTTTTATCAGTAAAAAAACAGCAACAGTAATAATAACCATTATTTCCTGAAAACTTAAAGGTGTGCCTGGGAATATGTTTGCTAGGTCCTAAACACATAATGTCCCATTTGAGAGGTTTTCGAAGAAGCTATTATTTCCATTTTACAGTTGAGGAATTAAGGCTCAGAGAAGTTAAGCCATTTGCCCAGGGTCACCTGGCCTCCAAGAGGCCTAATGCATCTTACTCCAGAGCCTTTGGCCTCCCCAGGCTGCCAGCCTTCTGCAGAGAGAAACAGTTGCCCCATCACTTCCCCTGCTGAGAAACCGGTTTGTCATTGTTGGGAGGGGCAGAGATTGGGCAAATTAAGATCTACCTAGCAGCAGGCAGGGTGAGCAGATAGAGCAGACAGGCAAGTAGCCTGGTAGGGCCCATCTGGGGAGGGTCTTCCTTGCACTTAAGCAGGTTGAAGACACAAGACTACATGAGAGCCACAATGATCCTGTGACAGTATGTTTGCTCAGTGGGGGACAGGGAAGAAGCTGCCCCTGAGAATTCTGGGAGAGAAGAACTGAGAGCTGGGGGGCCTGATCCAGGCCTGCTCACACAACAAGGGGGAGACACAGTGAGGACAGGATTCTGCAGCACCTGCCAGCTCCTTTGCCATGCCCCCTGGGACACCAAGGCAGATACCCCAGCCCCAAGCAAGTCACAGATCCACCTGCCTCAACTCCTTCATAGGGGAGGGCATGAGACAGGTGTCTGGAGCACCCCTAAAGGTGAGCTTCTCCCCTCTCCCTGCAGGGGTGAATGTGATGCTGAGGAAGATTGCTGTGGCTGCAGCATCCAAGCCAACAGTGGAGATCAAACAAGAAGGAGACACTTTCTACATCAAAACCTCTACCACTGTGCGCACCACGGAGATTAACTTCAAGATCGGGGAAGAGTTTGAAGAGCAGACTGTGGATGGGAGACCCTGTAAGGTGAGTGCCAGGAGAGGGCCCTGGGGTCATAGCATCATTGCCCTGCCTCTCAACATGTCATTTCCTGGGGGCAACGCCTGTGGCTCAAAAGGGTAGTGCGCTGGTCCCATATGCTGGAGGTGGCGGGTTCAAACCCAGCCCAACCCCAGCTAAATAAATAAATAAAGTTTCTAAAAGGAAAAAAAAACATGTCATTTTCTGGTCTTTTCTTTTGTTGTTGTTGTTGCAGTTTTTGGCTGGGGCTGGGTTTGAACCCACCACCTCTGGTATATGGGGCTAGTGCCCCACTCCTTTGAGCCACAGGTGCCACCCTCCAGT